TAAGTTCTAGTTATTTTGGAGACAACACCTCTTAACAATCTCCATATATTTTTTATGTTTTATTTTACTTCTGGACTTAATGAATTTTCAGTCCCTTTTGATGACATTTCTGAACTTTCATGTCATAAAGATGTAAAGCTACAAATTCATTACTGGATTATTCTTAAATACTTGAAGACACATTAATGCACTTTAAACTAATGTGTTGCAGGAAGTTATTAGTCTTCAAGGGGTGGAACCACAGAAGAAAATAATGAGATATGGTAGTTGTACTTTTATCCAGGTCAAAGTCCTCACGTGAGTGTGTTCAGAAATTACATTACTTGATATGTTACTTAACCCATTGTCCAGCACTTCAAGTCAAGTAAAAGGATGCTGACTAAAAATGCATTTTTTCTAGCTGCTTTTCATTCTAAAAGATCTTTAAGATTTAGCAAGTCTATCTTGCTAATCTGTCTGTTATTGACCCTTTTTCAGGCTTAAAATCAGTCTGTTAGTTCTCCACCACCTTAGGAAAACGTCACTATGTTCCCATTTTTCCTGGCATTTGATCAGCTTACATTTGAAAGCAGGTTGCAGAATATCTTGGAGAATAGCACCTGAGGTCCTCTGGCTAAGTCCCTTCTTCCAAAAAGTGGGTTTTTTCCCCCCACTTCATCTTGCTGTTACTGATGCAAGTTTTGCCTTTGGCTATACCAGGCAGATTAGGTCCCCTTGGTTTTGGTAATTTATTTACAGGAGTTTCTTTTAGACTATCAGGCAGGACCTGAGGCCTAAAGGGCACTGGTAGACATAGGTAAGAAATTACAGTACAACATCTGAAAAGAATAGAAGACTAAGAAAAATACTGTATCTAGAGAAAGTTTGCTATATAGTGGTGCAAATGGAAGATGTTCCACTTCAAGACCCCTTTCACTTGCCTGTCAGAACTAGCCTACATTCATATTCTCTTAGTGAGGTTAGTGGCTGAAGTTAGTAGTCTCTTAGATCTGTCAGAGCACCTTTACTTGTGTGGCCTCTCTCAAAATCAGATGTAAAAATCAGTTAGTCATTACTAGTAGAGGGGCTGTGATGAGCACTTAGGTCCAAAACATAAATAGGCAACACAACTTTCTCAGACACAACTGTTTGCAAAATCTGTGTCTGTTTACACCCTCAAGCAATTTAAAATCTGGTTAAGTTTCCACCTAGGTATTTTGCAATATACAGATACAAGACCTCTGCAAGAACAGCTTCCAGACAGCAAAAATTGAAAGCCATTTCTGGTTTGATAGAAGCCTTTCCAGTTTACAGAGTGCTTGGTTCCTACCTAAGGTTAATCCTTTATTGTTGTTGGTTTTGTGTTTATACCCAAACTTTTTGCTGAAGTTCTCATTTCCAGTTGTTCTTCAGGATGCCAAAACGGGGCAAATCTTACTTCATGCCTTTAAATTTACAAGAGAAACAAACTTGACCACACATTTTCAAAACCTAAACTTGATTTCCCCTTCCTTACCATCTTATTCACTGCTGTGTCCTATGTCCCTTTTTCATCATTCACCACCATCCAAGTAATGGATTAAGACTTTCATGCTACAGAAAATGTTTCTACAGCTAAATAAACTCCCCAGTAATGTCCCTCTAAGAGGCTTCCATGAAAAGGTCTATCATTTAGTTAGGAATCCAGATGCCCCATTCCCCTCGAGAATATTTAAGTCACATGATTGTTTGATAAACAAAAATCAGTTTCCCTTTTTTTTTTTAGCTCTTTTGTTGTCTTTATACAGTCAACAAAGCAGCAAAGTAAAGATGCAGGTTAACAAAAAACAAGTTTCTCCCTTACATTTTAATGAATAGGATTGCTGAATCTAATAAATCCAAATTGCTTTTAAAGTGACCCTGATATATGAAATTACTAATGCATGATTGTTATTAAGTGTTAAATTCAGATGCAAGGCTGTAGTTCATTATCTTTTATAAGCATTTCAATTATTTTCATTGACACTAGATTTCACTTATGATAAAAGAAAATATATAAAAATAAAATTAAATAAAATAATTTTTAAAGAAATGTGATGAATAGGTGGATGTTTGGGGCAAAATGATGGGTTAGCCTCACTTCAGTGTACCTTTCGTATCTATACAAGATGAGTAGATTAAATTCTTCCAGAGAAAATCTATTAACTGGAGACAGTCCATGTAATGAATGAGTGTGATGCCAACAATTAGAATGGGGATAATATTTTAGGCCAATTTGGTTATTTGGATGGCACTACCTTCTTCCACAGAAGTCAGCAGAAGATTTGTCTTTGACCTCAGAGAATGAATTGGCACTGGAAGCTCTTCGCTATTTTTTTCAAGGCACAAAAACATTACCCCTTATATCCTGGCCAAACTCCAAAGTTGGTGATAGCATTTTGCTGCTCTAATTTTTCCTTGCAGGCTTAACTAAATCCAGGATCATTTCCTGATGTGCAGTGTAACTACTAACATTCAAGTCCCTTTTTGCAAGGTTATTGGTTTTTCCTCCTAATTTGTGTGCTTTGCCTTAACAGTTGCAGCTTGTTTGAAGGTCAGAACTGTTTGGTTCTGGATCACAGCTTTTATTAAGTTGAGGAACCATGAATACATGCAGTGCTACAATGATAACAATATCTTTATATCACTTATAATCTCCTATCATATACATAGTGTAGCCTGGCTATAAAAGGAAATGAACAGTAATTTTTTTTCCCCAAGAACTCACATAGCTATAGTTTTGTCAAATACCACATCATGCTGATCTTGAAAACCAAAAGTCAAAAATACAGGCCAAAATTACAGGTCATTCTGAGACTGTTTAAAAATCAGTTGCCAATTTGTTGGTAAAATCCTTTAACTTTACATTGAATTATTTTATTACACTTTAAAGATATTATTTCCATGTCTGTACAATCTCATAATTTTTGGAAGAAGATGGCACATCATTGTCAGCAGAATTAATTTAATACATACTTAGGATGGATCTGAGACATTACTTTTAGAAAAAACATTAACTACAGAAGTTCAGCAGCTCTAGTTGTAACTGCTGATTTAACTTTGTCTCTATAAACACCTGCACTCAGCATAGTTGCTTATTGAGTAACTTAAGCTAGTTAGAAATACCAGCACTTGAAATCACTTAGTATAAGAACTTCTATCTAAAATAGAGGCTCTAATGTACCTTCCTTCAGCATGGTCTCAAATGAAACAACACTAAGTGCAGTCTAGTGGATTACCCATATAGAGAAGCCACAAAGATTCTAGATCTGGGGCTGTGAATTGATTACTTACTGCCAGTACCACAGGGTTAAGTGAAATGCTATCACAGTAATTTATTGTCAAGAGAAATGGTGATGGCTTCGATTAAGAAGATTTTTCTGTCTCTTCTAATTAAGATTAGGTTCTTAAGAAGCTTTACTATCCTTTGAAGATACAGAGACTAAAATTAGGACTCTTGTTCTGTTTAAAATGTCACTAGGTTAGTCCCTAATCTTGTAGTGATTGCAGCAAGGGATCATTCTTCCAATGTTGTGATGCCTTGTTTGGACACTAGTGAGCCAGGACAAGACCCCATGAATCAAAGCCTGAGTAGTCTATTAATCAGCAACAAGTTGGTCCTGCAGAACATCATCAAGCTCTTGCAGTGACCCCTTGAAGACTGCATAACAAACAGAAAGCTGGCAAAGAAATCAGCTGTCAGACACAGAAAATTGTATTGCAGATGGAGAGCAAATGCTAGCAGAAAGTGTGCTGCATACAGCAAGTGAAGAAATGGTTCAGGGGGAGATCTGTTTTCAGGCTGTAAATCAAGTAATTTTACAGTGGTGTTTATAATCTGATACACGACAATTGCATCCTGACTTCCAATGTCTTCACTTGGTGGTCTACAGACAATGTTAAAACCTCAAAGCAACAGATGGATTACTTCCAATTTTTCTCATTATGCCCCTATTTACACTGCATACAATGGAGTTCACTATTACAGCCTGGTAAGAGCAAAAACATAAATTAAGTTCAAAATTTTTTAGCAACATGTTAAGCTTGGATTCGGTTTTGCCTAGATTTGTAGACCTAGACCAGCTCTGCCTAGATTTGTAAATTACAGGAATGTAAAACTGGTGAAATGGAAAAATCAGAGCCATTTATTAAGAACAAAACTTCTTTAACAATATTTAGCATGATAAAACATTTGGAGGAAAAGAAACCTTGCTATTTCAAGTCACAAATCAATTTCTAGTAAGACATTAAATTACGATTCAGTACAGGATGCCTTTCTCTCAGTTATTTGATACTGCGTTGCAGTTGAGAAAAAACTAGTAGTGTGGACCAACATTCTTCCGTAGTACACCAGGTCTTACGTACTTGTCACATTGGAGTGTGTGCTGGGAGACACAAAATTGCTATTCAGCAGTTCTCAGAGGGAATCATCTTTTAATTTGATTTAGTGAAACAAAGCAAGTTTCTATTTATATTGGTATGGATGAACTGCAAGTTCTGAGCCTCAGGAATTTGACAAAGAAAATCTCTCAATGAATCCAGTAAAAGTCTACAAGCTTTTACTGATAAATCAGCTGAGCAATGAAAGAAACTATACTGTTCTGTTGGACTGTGTTTATAAACCTTTTGTGTTACAGTGCATCTACTTTTGCTTTGTAATTCTTTTTCTCTTAGATTAACTCTCTCATGTTTTTTGTAGACAAAAGCATCCAATTAAGCAGCAAAATCAATGTCCTACCCTTCAGATAATTCACAAAGTCTGAACAGCATATATGAAGGATCACCTGAGCAAAAATTATTTGCCCCAGACTACTTAGTTTAGTTCCATTTATTTACTCTTACTCAGATTAAGACAGGGATAAACAATACCACCTTTTGTGAACAAGGAAGCAGGGTGTTTCACAAAATATTTCTTATTGTGAGAGAAGGACAGAGCTGTAATCAATATGGTTTGCTTCAGTCTAGTTTAGTGTGTCCAAAATCTGGTTTCTATTGCAGCAGGCATGAGCAGTTCCTGTGTGACACTGGCCGAGGTCCTGTGGGCAAAAGGAAGCCCTTTAGAGGAAGAAGAAATATGGGCACTCTTGTATCTGGCCACAGTGCAGCTACTGGAGGACCTTCACAAAGGTGAGGTGAAAAGTATCTTCTTATAGATCTTACTGTTGGAAATTAATGCTTGAGCTATTTTAGCTCTTCTGAGGGTTGGTGTTTTTTTTGAGTTTTGGTTTTCTTTTTTGGGTAGAGCCAAAAAACACTAATGGCAATAATAGTATATTGCTAGAAAAATGAGAAAACTCTCAGTGCTGCTAGGATTACATGTGGACTGCTGTGCCAACCTAAGAGATCTTCACACAGTTGAGGGGTTTTTTTTCCAGATTGCACATCTCATAAGATACTTTTATCCTTGATGATAATAATGTGACTTATCATGATGAATGTTTGCCAAGCCAGCCAGCTGAACAAGAGAGCACGGCTGAGCAAACTGTCACAATTTGGGAACTGTTTATTACAATGGATATTGTTTTTGAGGGGAGAATGGATGAGAGGAGTTCTTACCTCTTAAGCATGTAGCAAAATACAAATTACTGAAAACAAGTAATGTGTAAATTCTGCTATATCTGGAGGGCAGGACTTTAGGGCTTGTTTCTGAGCTTTTCTCCTATGGAGCTCTAAATGGTCTTTGTTCTTGTTCCTATGGTGTGGCTTGAAAACTGTGATATACCAGCTAACATTTCTTTTTTTTTAATTTTTAATTACCTATATTTCCAGGAGTGCTACCACTAAATATTGCCATAGTTAATGCAGCTTTTCCTCTTTTTAACTAAATGGATTGATCTTACACACTTTTTATCATGCTTCTTTAATTAATATTTTAATGAAATTGCTTGGATGTATTTGGTCAAATTCACTAAACATGTATGCAAGTACAGAGTGTGTGCAGCAAACTGCACATCCTCATACTTCCACTCCTGCTTCAGACCACTGGGACTGATCTCAGTGGATCTCTGCAGTGAATATTTTTTTAAGAGTACTTGGGCCTTTACAAGAAGAATCCAGTCCATTTATGAGATACCATCAAAAAGATTTTTCCAGGGAATGGCAAGGAAAAACTGTTCCCTAAGGGGCAGGGAGCTCAGACCCTTTATGGGGGTAATGTAACCTTATGTAACCTAAGTATGGCTAGCAGGGTGGCAGGGCAGTGGCTGTGCCAGCCAGGGCCCTATCCTGCAGCATCAAAATAAGTTAGAAATTATGTTTCCACTTAAAGAAAAGCTTAGTAGGTTTTAGCACTTGGACTTGGGAAGTTTGTTTTCTACTGCTAGCTCAGCGTCTGTTGATTTACATAGTGTAGTCATCAAAGTTGGGGTCTTTATCAGTTTCTTCAGCTGTACACTGGAAATAAAAAAGATACTGACTCCTCACACTGCCTTTCTGGCAAAGTAACATGGCTTTGCTAGACATAATACGCTGAAAGAGAGGTTACTAAAATGTCAGCTGACTGACTCTAAGCAGCATATGGAACAAAAAAATATTTCCACAGAGATTTGTACCATGATCTTGCAACTTAATGGAAGTTAACTTAAGGTATTTGGCATATACCAGCTTCAAAGTATTCATGCTTTATTGGAAGGAGTGTTCTAGTCTTTTGATATTCTCTTGTGCTTTTTATAAAAGGATCTACCAAAAATGTCATGATTTCCAGAATCTGTATATGCAATGTGATTCTGCCTTTCCTTAGGCTTCAGAAATCTATCAAAATCAATATATTGTTTATATATGTGAAATAATGTGAGAGAAAAGTCGTCTTTATCCATTACAGAATTTAAGCTGACAAAGTCAGCGAGGCATAAACAAACATGATTCTACTGACTTTTGAGTACATCTCCAGGAAATTTCAGTAATGGGTTTAGCTAGGCAGGAGAGACGCCAGCAGTATGATTCTGGCACACAGTGAATTCAACACTAAGAACTCCATTATCTTCTTCAACGTTATTCAGACCCTGCCATCTGTGTGATTTGTCCGTGGTCAGTACTACTGTCTCCTGAAGGAAATTTGTCCTTCCAAAAGAATACATCTCAGATGGAAGCTGCCCCCTTCAGTGCACCAGAATTGCTTCACAGACAAAGTATAAACCAGCACATCGGACTAACAAAGGTGAGGTATATTACAAAATAAATCTTGATGGTACCTCATGAAGATCAGCTTGTGGGGTTTAATGGAGCATACCACGTATCAACTGTCAAACTCCTTTTCTAATAACACTAAAAAGATTAGTCTACAGTTAGAAAGACTGACGTGTCTTGCAGCTATTAGACAAGCTATTGCTATTAGATTAGCATGCACATCAACATCAAAATCAATTTTGACCATCAGTTCTCCAGGTCTGCAGAAATTTATCTGTAAAGGTCCACAAAAAGGAAAAATATTTCTATGAACATGGTGTTTGACCAGAAACGGTAATAGTAATCCCAAAAGCAGCACGACTGCAGTATCTAAATGATCAGTGGAAGCACTCCCAGGAAGTCAGAAATATGTTCAGCTTTGTTAACAGTTTAAATGTTCTTCTCCCAAAGAAATGAGTCTCTCTGGCAAGACAGTAAGAGACAACACTCAGGTATCTAAAAGTTTTAAATACCACTAGGCCTACATCAGTGCATACTTTCCTCAGGCAGAACACAGTAGTTCTAGACTCTTAAATAACTGATCACTTAGACACTATGCAGAAACATGAAGTTTTGGAATAGATGGCACTTATTCCAGTAATGCTTTTCCTTGTCATGACTTTTGGTCAGTCCTGCAGGTAGAGGACAGCTTTAATTGGCAATGGGAGAGCTTCAGAACTAAGAAAGGATTTCAAAGTTCTTTTCCTGCTCATGGCATCACTGGATAGAGGGCAGCCTGGTTCAGCCCATCAAGCTGAACAATACTCTTTCCATGCTACCTAGTCCATCAGCCAAGAGTCACTATTGTGCTTTTTATATATGTTTCCTCTAGTCTAGTTTAAAAAATACATATATTTGTTTGTTTTCTGACATTTTGTAACCAAAGACACAAAAAGATGGTCTCTCTAGTACAAGGCTTCTCTATATTTTGTGTTGACTTCATAAAGGCTTTCCTTTTCTGTTTTGACAGATGTTGGTGTATTCCTTAGGAATGACTCTCTACTGGTCAGTAGACTTCCAGGTTCCTCCAAACCAGGCCAGTAACAAAACATTCTTGTTTTCTTTTACTCCATCTTACATTGGTGGGTTCAGAGATTGAGAGGTATAATCTTAAGTCTCAGCAGGAGAAGCTTTATGTTTGGAACACTGAAAAGAATTGGAAAGCTAGTGTCAAGGTCCAGACTTCGAAAATACCAGTTCATCCAAATCAGGAATTTAGTCAGGTCTCAACTTTCCTTTTTTTTTCTTTTCCTTTTTCTTTAAAAACCAGAATTGTTCCCATTAAGATGAATTTTGCCATGCTTTTAAGAGTGAAGATAATTTATTCCAAGACTGTTATAAGGAACAGGCTACCCAGTGAAGTGGTTGAGTCACCATCCCTGGAGGTATTTAAAAGATGTGTAGGTGTGGCACACAGGGACATGGTTTGATGGTGGACTTGTGTTAGGTTTTACAGTTGGACTCAATTATCTTAAAGTTCTTTTCCAACCTAAACCATTCTATGATTCTAAGATAGTAAGTGAGGGCTAAAAGAAAACAATGCTGGCATGGTTGTGGTACTGTGCACATTTATGTGCTTTTTCTAATAATGGGATGCTGGAATAAAGCTAAACAACTCACCTTGTTTCTGAGCAAATTCTACCAGCATCTCTGCCAGATGAAATTTTGCATTTCTTGCTTACCCAGAAGCCTTTCAAAGATTCGTAGCAGACATTTTGCTTCCTTTCTATATCCATGCCTATGATTGCTTGTTTTTGATTTAGAGAGCACAAGCTTTTAGTATATTGAAGGTTACATGTCTTACTTGCATGAATCTTTAAGATTCACAATCATATTAGCAAAGCTGTGGAGCAGTCTGAGCTGTTTGTAACCAAGAAGCCCCTATACAGGTAAATGACCCTCTCTTGTACATGCCAGTTCCCTCCAAGGCTATCCTGGATCTGATTAGAGGCTCTGTTTAGTGGTGTTATTCTGCCTATCTGGAATTTTCCAGAAGTGTAAAGGAATTCAGTGCCCATTTCTCACCAAGGGTGAAAGGCTTAGAGAAATTCCTGGTCCCAGTTTACACAGTATTTCAGATCACTAGGAGAGGTCATTTAACTACCTCCCTTTTGACTCAGTCCCTCCAGCTGAGTGACCAACTACACACGCTCTTGCTGACACTATGTGAAGATCTGCCATATAAAAGGCTTTCTCCTGAATCGATTCTGGAAGCATGTGAGGCACATCAGAAGGAATTTGCTTCCTTACCAGCAAATGTCTGCATAAAGAAAATGGTCCAGTTTGCTCTGGGAAGTGTTGGTGAGGTAAGTACTACTCTCATACTCTAATCGTCTCATTTTCTTCAGTAAGAGAGGTCAGCAACAACATAGGATTCAGGTGAGCAATTGTCTGAAATTAACGCTTATATAAATTGAGGAAGTGAGATTGGGTTCTAGACTTCTAAGAGTGGAAATGAGTGAGTATGTGTACAAGAAAATGATGGAATGAAGCCATCTCTCACACCACTCTTACACTTCTGGGAAATAATCCAAATCCAGCTTTTGTACTTACAGTATCTTATTTTTTTTAAATACTGAAGGAATCATAACTTTTATGGAGATCTCATATTGGTCAAAGGAATGGACTTAATACAAGAGAAAAGATTTCCCCATTGCCACTCTGGTTTCAGACTTGATTTGTAAAATTCAAAGAAATCACATCATACTGAGAACTTCATTCATCATCCTTGAGTGGAGCTGAACATTTGCTATGCAATAAAGCCTGACCATGTGAAGTCTTTAATACGTGAGCACCTGAGGTTTTTTCAAGATTTGAAATATCATCAAACATTCTCTGTTGACAAACTGAACAAAACTGGAAGAAAACACACTGCTTTTTTGTTTGTTTGTTTCTTTGGGTTGTTTTGTTTGGTTGGTTTTGTTTTTTCTTTTTGTTTTGTTTCTTTTTCCCCCAGTTCATTAATATTCTGAGATTACCTTCTTCCTTGCACTCTCGATTGCTCCATTTCCCACTGCCCCCTCACAAACACAGCTAGCCTGGGACCATGAGGTCATCAAAACTCAGTCCTGCTTTGTGTTAATCCAGGACAATGAAGTTGCTTGAACCAAGCAAATCAGCAGCCTCTGACAAGCAGAGGGCAAGGGTCACTTCAGTAAGAGAGTCTGAAATCCACATATCATATGACATTGATTTGCATTACTACTCTCTTCTAGGTAGAGCAGGTAGTCACTGAAGACAGCACAGCCTTTCAGCTTAACAGAAGTCATGTGATAAGGAAAAGACTGCATGAGAAAATATCGGACACCTCACCACTGTCCTCCCAGATTAATTTTCACCAAGGTAAAGAAAGAGTTATAATCTGAACTGTCTAATAAGGATACAGCCAGCCTTCTCTGAGTCCTTCCCAAGCTAGGTGAATTGTTTAATTTCATGCTGTAGTGATTACATGTAGTGTTGGATAGGATATTTATTGCTTTACATATAAATGACTTGATAATGGAGAGGCTCTGAGGCAAGTCAGCAAGTTTTCTTTTCCTTATTTCCTCAAAGGACAGTAATCTGCAGGCTGTGAAGCAATGATAACACATCTGCTTGCTCAGATTTGACTCTTAAAGCACTTTGCATAAAACCTGTGTATATAAAATGAAACTACGTTAAAATCTGCTTTTGCACCTTGTATACTCCAGAGTATTTTCAAAGGTAGGATGTGATTCTATGAAGTTATCCTATTTCCATTAAGGAATATATACTTCCTATTTGATTATTCAAGCAAAGATTTGTTGTTTCTTTTTTATTTTAGTTCTGTTTTTCCATTCAAAAGCTTTCTTATAAATTCACACATGGATTGGTGAAGTGCCTTCAAGACACAAGGCCAAATCCTGCCCACTATATAAATAAACCAGCATATACTAATTTCACATTTCATTTGACTCAGATCAAGGTTTTATTCAGAGTAATTTTCTAAATGTAACTCAATATGGACTTCAAGTTCAGATTGTTTTTTTTCTAATATCTATATTGTACGGTTCACTTCAACAGAAATCTCTGATTTTTGAGGCAAGGTGAGGGTTAGCTCAAGCTATTGAGGTGCTTTTTTATATATATATGCTCAACATTAGTCACATGAACAATCCAATTCCTATTCAGCAAATTACATATACGTTCCATTAACTTCAACTAGAATTAAAGACAAGTATGTGTGGGACATTTCTACTAGGTGTTATTAGTCATAAAATCCTCTTCATCATATTGGCTCATTCAGTCATTCAGAAACTGCACTTAAAGATTCACACCAGCATAAGCTGGTGAAAACTCTGCTACTGCCAAAAGGTGTGGTCCCATCTTCAACCCCCTGTAAGCCACAAGTTCCTGACACCTCCCTTCTGCTGGCTCTAGTGATTATGTATCTGGGATGATCTCTATGTTTTCTAGGGATTTAGGTCACCTGGCTTACACTTGTTTAAGGACTTCAGTAAATCAGGATGTCAATTACATTGAGAATCAGTGTGCCACACTTTTCAAGGCAGCATTCCATTTCTTTTATTTCTTTTTTTTTTCTTTTTTTTCTTTTTTCCCCCTATTTAGAAATGATCATATTCAGAGATTCTGGAAATGAACAGGAGACAATATGACCAAAGTAAAGTTAGAGTACAACAGGAATATGTACTTCCTAGTGACTTAGGATGACTCCATACAGTTTCTGCAGCCGACTCTGGTAGTGGATTGTTTCTGGGCACTGTCTGTCTTGCACACAGAAAGAATACTTTATAGCTGGATTTTTTAGGCCTCAGAATAAGAAAGAAAAATCTTGCAGGTTATCTGCACTTTGCAATCTTTCAGTTAAACATGTGGAACAGAATTAATGAATTAGATTAATTTTCTTTGGAATGGTTGAGGAGAGAAATGATGACTACTGTGGGTCAGAATAAGATTATGAAAATGATAGAATGAAGTTACCAAGTTTTCCTTTGTCCCTAAGGAACTGAAGTCAGGGTTAGAAGACAGACAGATATGGACTATATAGAAGTTAGTCAAGTCAAATGTTATTTACGTTATCATGCAAAACCCAACAATTTATAATTAAAGTATGTGATTCACCATAGTTCCTTTCTGTTTCCAAAGGGTCCACATTAATGAATTATAGTCGGTCAACAGAAGATTACAAAGATTACAGGCAACTCTCTGTGGAACACAGTGACTCTAATAGTATATCTGAAAGTACATCTTTAATACTGTCTAACCAAGGACACAGGAGAGGTAAGATATTCCTGAAAGATTATGAGTTACGTACTCAACTCTTTTGTCCTTGGAAATGTGAGACTACCCATGAAGGTCAAGTGATAAGGTACTCTGATGCATCTGTGGTTATGTGATTAGGGAAATATGTTTGTGGTAAGCTGCAGAGAAGAAAGCTTCCATTATAATGGGTTCCATTTTACTTGTGTCCCGTTGTAAAGCTATATATTCACTGATTACTATGCAGTATCATCACCTCTTTCTTGCATGGATTCAAATGTACTCTGTAAGCATGTGTGGGTTTTTTTAATCCCAGAAATTTCTTACCTAAGGAAACACCCCTAGGGTCCACTACATAAATTATGATGTAACAAAGTATGCACACTGAATGGTTAGTTCATTGATGACATAAAAATCAGAAAACTGATGAGTACTCCTTGCTTTTTCTCACTGGGGAGTATTAATTTGGGTTTATGATATCCAGCTGCCAATTGATGAAATTTATAGGAACATATTACCCATGCTCTTCCAAATTTACTAGGCTTAAAATTTACTAGGCAGAAATGAAAGGCATAGAGCATGATCTCAAGGGATTAATTTCCCTAGGAAAGATGGCAAAAAACCTGGGTGCACCCTGTGTTATCATGAGTCTGCCAGGAGATAATTCAGAAAAGGAAACTGAAAAAAAAAGAAAAAATTAATAGCTTCTCAACCCCAAGGATGACGAAGGCAAGATTATTCCTACAACTGCTGCTGATACTCTCCTTCTGAAAGGTGCTGTATTTCTGAGGCTCCAGAGCTGCAATATTCATAGCAATAAAAACCTGAAATAGCAGCTGCTGCCTGTGATGCATCCGTGTCAGTCACATATCTAGTGGCACACAGTGAAGGTAAACTCAAGAGTCTGTTTTCTAAGTCCTTTGTAAAGAAATTGTGGTCATAAACTTGGCAAAAGCTCATTCCAGTGCATTTCTCGTGTATCACAGAAGAAACCACAGAATGTGAGAGCTGGTTTGTTGCAGACATTCTTTCAATGAAAGAATGTATTCAAAATATGCTTTCCTCTCTGAAAAGAAGTACTACCATCTAGTAGAGACCATTATCTAGGGAATTCAATATCTCTGTGCAGACTGTACTTTATAAGCTAATGTAACATATAATAAATTAATAATCTACAAGATCAACATCTGTGAGTGCCATGTGTTACTTTAACATCAGGGACCTATTGGATTTATGATCAAAGCAGTTTGACCACTGAAACTAGCCAACTTGTCCCACTGCCATAATACCTAAGACAGAAAAATTAAGGGGATTTTTATCTACTTGTCAAAGTATATTTATAAAATTATGTGAAACCTGTAGTATAAGCAGAGACACTTGCCAGCCTTTCTCTTTAAAAAGTGGGTAGTTTCAGAGCACAGGACTGAATCTTAACTTGGTAACTTGCCCTGAGTATTTGGCTTATCTCAAATCTAACATTTTTTAATTACCATCTGCAGCTAGAAAAAAACCATAGTTATACTTATTTTTGCAACATGACTGTAGATTTTCTAGTTTTAAAAATTGCAGTTGGTGGTCAGTACACTAGAATTCAATGTCATATTTTCATGTTGGAACTCAGTGAGATCTCAGTTCACAAAACTACATCTTGCACAGCCCTTTCTGGTTCTACCTCTAAATTTCAGCCTTCATGTATTTGGAAAAAAGCAATGCCTTTCTTTCTGTCTCAGCAGAGACAACTACAGGTGAAAAAATATGCAAATTATATTTGCTGATGACTCACAAACCATCCTATATTTCCTCCAGATTTTTATGATGTAAAAAGGATTCACAATATATTTAATGTAGCAAATAAACACTGGAATATTTACAAGCAGTTTTCATTTTGGTGAATTTATTTCCTACTCTGATTAAGCCAGAGAAGATTAATGGCTTTTTTCTCCTGATTTTACACCTGGAAATAAAAGAGCAAAGAATACCAGGGGTAATTTCTGAACAGAAAAAAGCTGTTTCAGAAATTACCCCTGTACATATGTAACAGCCAGTGTATCTACCCAGCTGTTTTCCAAATTGCATTCACATGAAGGGTTATTAAGAGGATGTAACAGTGACTACAGAACTGGGAACACTGCTGGTGTAGTATTCACTTAGCCTTATCAAATAGACATTTATCATGCCCTAACACAACCCGGGTAGGGCAACCCAGGGAGATTCAGACTGGACCCCCTTACTTTATGAACTCCTTCTCAGAGAGCCCAAGTGCAGCTGGATCCAACCTTAGTCTCAGACCTGGCCCTTCCAGGGAGAGTGATTAACATGTCACAGTCCAAGGAAATGCTTGGCCATCCAATACCCCTTGATTGGATTAAGGTGAAACGACACTCAAGGTCTGTATTTGAATGTTATGCTTAATTAAAACTATAGAAGGAATACTGATAGTTCAATTATTATCTCAGGCTGCATGATCACAAGAGTACAACATATGTATGTTCAAGCTGCACAACCCGAGAAAGTTGAAGTTAGGCCTTGTGTTTCTTAATGTTTTTAGGAAGGAAGAGAGAGAGAGGGAATAGGAGAAGTTAGAGAAACAGGTAACAGCCAATCATCAGTCCTGGATCCAGCATTGGACCAGCTAATGGAGGAGAGTTGGTGTCAGTGAGGCTCCCAAAACCCACCACTGCAGCCCCCTGCTTTATAGGCCTGCTGTCATTGTTTTGCAAGGATGAGTAAATGCAACTGAGTCATAAGACTGGGCAGCTGGAGTGGACCTCTGCCCCTCCATCTGTCTTGATCTCAATTGTTGTAAATGCAAGCCACAGGCCATATGTATACCATCATCGTTGTCTCCATCTTCCCAGGCAGGCCTTTCATGCAAATGAGACTTTGTTTGAGGGGTTACAATGGAGTTTCAACACCACTTCCTACAAGGGCTGGTCCCTCACATGCAGAGAAAGGACACAAGGGAGGAAGTATCCAGTCTGCATTTCCTCCTTGTTGTAATTGTCCCAAGATCTGATGCAGAGTGCTGCTATAATTGTTTCCATTGTGAATTTATTTTTTATTCATTTCAGGGAGAGTTCCACAGACACACAGGTCATGGGACCCCACCCTTAGTGGGTCAAGGACACAAAGTAGCTACAAGCTCTTCATAAACAGGTAATCAAAACTCATAGTCTTAAAAGATGTAAACTGTTGTATTACCAAGTAAAGCATGCAAGTAGCATGGCAATGACTACCATAAAATGCCTGGATCACTATCTGAACTAATTTTAGTAATAGACACAATTTATGTAGAACTAAAGTGCACAGAGACCCAGTGTGACCCTGAAAAATCCATACAAAATAAGCACATTACTGTTTTCCACCTGTACTCTTTACTGCAGTGTCCTGCCAGATGTCACTGGCCTCCCAGAACAGCTGGGACAGTCTCTGTCAGAATCAGAAAGGTAAGCAGCAATAGCTCACTGTGATTGAAGCAACTGGGAAGCAGCTCCACAGTGAAAGGGGAAAAACCTGTTGAGAAAATATGAATGGTCTTTGCTTTAACTTGCAAGGCCAGGGTCTATATTTATCTACATTCAGACCTGGATCTGGTCTTGCTTTGCTGTCACATTAGCAGAGGCCTGATGTGTTCTGGAGTGGTTATGATAGATTATATATATGATCCATACTTTTCAGTGGATTATTTGCATTTCTACCTCAGTTCTTAGATTGATTTGTCTCATTTGTGTCAATTTTACCCAGCCCAGTGCCACAACTTTGCTGAAGAGTTAGAGGTAGCCCAGGAACACAAGCAGTAGAGACCTCTGCTCTGTCATGAGTATCCATACAACAGCCCTTTCCATAGACAAGGAAAGCTGAGAATTGTACAACTGATACTAACTCCTTTTTAAAATCCAGAGAAATATCCCTGCTGTCAAACAAGAGACTGGATGTTAGCATAGTGCAGCTGTAATCATGGCTGCTTCCACTGAAGAAAGGATGTAAGAACTGTTAGCCTCTTGGCACCACGAAGATTGGAATCCCATAGTTAAGCACCCTGTAATCCCTACAGACATCCTATTTCAATTGAGTTCTTGACCCAGTTAAGCAGGAGTTTCTTCTTTTAACCATGACATGAATAATTCAGGCCCATGGGAAATGTTCCATTTAGATTAACTACCAATTAAATGTACCCCAAGTAAACAGTTTGAACTTCCTGATAAATCAGGCACAATAATCTGAGCAATGCGAGGTATCTCAGTACACCTCTCAATCTGCAGTAAGAAAGAACTCCAAGCATGTTGTAGGATAGTGGCAGCTTTTGTGAAGATAGAACTCTTTGCCTGTCTAACTACACATACATCCATATGTGTGTATACAGACATCTATCTATGCATCATATACTTGTTAATGGTATCAGTAACAAATGATTTATTTACTAAGTATTTTGGAGCAATTGTCATGCCTCTGACTACCAACTTGAGTATCATCTTGATACCCTTGACCTGAAATCATGCTGCCAAGAAAATGCTCTCCTCTGCTGAAAGATGAACTCTCTTTTCCAAATTTCCATCAAGCTGTTTCTCATGGAAAGTGGGGACTATAAACCCCACTTTTAGTTGTAACCATCTACAATTGAATTTCTACCAAGGTCCTCATCCTATTCTAAGTTACACAAGATCAGTGTAGTTGAAATAGTTTGGAAACCACAAATTTCCCATCTAGGAGGACAACTAACACAGAATTTACTGATAGGTTTACTATATATAAAGCTTACTAATATCACCATGCTCACTTCTGTAAGCTGTCCAACTGACATAATTTGCATCTCATAAAGTTCAGCTTGTAAGTATATATAGGACTGTGGCTTGTGTATAAAGACACAGCTATCAAGTCTGGCATCTCTTATCTTACAGAACTACCAACAGGAAATGTTTTCTATGGAAAAAGAAAGTCTCCTTACAGCATCTTGGGTTTAGAGCTAACAGTGTTTTTATAACCCAAAAAGCCACTCCAGTCATTTTTAGGCATATTTCTAAATGAAAAGTTAGTATTTATGACTTCGCATTGATAGAAACAAAAATATCTAGATATCTTTATAAACAGAGGAATGCAAACTAGGATAGGATAGAACTGCAACGATCAGCTCATCCAACTGCCTGACTACTTCAGGGCTGACCAGTGTAAAACATTATTGAGGGAATTGCCCAAATGCCTCTTAAACACAGACAGGCTTGGGGCATTGAGCACCTCTCTAGGAAGGCTGCTCTAGTGTTTGGCTACCCAGTGAGTCCCATGTGTCCTGTCACTGCATACCAAGGAGAAGCAACTATTCCAGTAACTTTGTTAAAAACCTTTTAAAACTCCTGAATAGCTCCTTGAAGCAAATCTGCAACATGTAAAAGAAAAGGATAAAACTTTGGGATAACAAAAAAGCTCCTGTGTGACTTTGGCATTTGTTAAACATGTAATTAACAAAAATCCACCTAAACAAAAAAAAATTTTAAAACATTTTATTCTAAGCATACAAGTGCCTGGTCACATGGAAAACACCATTACTTTATGGGTTAAAAATACAGTATAAAGACACCTTTCTGATCTGACACCTTTCATGCATCTTTCTCTTAATTCCCTTAGTTCTCCAAGAAATCATTTTTTTTCTAATGAATTAGTGTTCAAATAATTGTTTCCATTCCTGGAAAATTCTGAATAAGGTAATAACAAATGTCATGGTTTTCTGAAGCTTTTCTGCTTCAGAAAATAAGAAATGAAGAATTGACTTAATCCTGTAGAATTCTCTGAAAGGCATGGAGCTAAATTATATGCCTGTTGGCTTCACTAGACTGAAACCAGCTAGATCTGGATCATCAAATGAAAAAAAAAAGAAAAAAGAAAAAAAAAGAGCCTGTTATTGAATTAAAGCATAATTTAGATGTATAAGGACATCAGTAAAGTTATCCTTTTAAAATGTTTTTTCTTTTTCTGTAAAGAAAAATTTAACAACTTATAATTGACATTGCCTTGGGTTTCATAATATTCTGCCAGTCAATGTACATTAAGCTCTTTGACCTAAAGTCTTTGTTGTTTTGATTGCATGGTATATATTGCTCTCTATGACTTTTTCTTTGAAGGTCAGTCAGCGCTGTAGAAGAAATCCCTGGTGGACCTCAGGACAACAGCAAACACAACCTCCTAAGTTTAGGTTCCACTTTCTCCATGTCTACAAAGGACTACACAGCAGCAATGGCATCACAGAAATGTTTGTTCCACAGGAAGGAAAAGGTGGTTAATGCTGCTTTCAAAATGTAAAACTCACTAAAGAAAAACCTCTCATCCAGTTGTCATTTGCCAGTGATGTGCATATTGGCTACTGAGTCATCTCATTAGATTATTCTAAATTGACAGACTCCAAGTTAGGCATGAGCCACGAGTGATAACTCAAAATTGAAACTAGTGAAAGCTCTTAAAGACTAAACAAAAGCTTATAATCAAACCCTTTTACATATATATGTGTGAATTCTGCAAGCATAAAACACCATATGGACAGTTTCCATCAATTACTTTGACAGGAGCTTCAGCACAGCAAAAACATTTACAGAGACAGTGAACCCAGACCCTTGCTGGTCAATAGTGATCAAAGGATTAATTATTATTTTTTTTTTGATAGCATTTGTCTGGACAGAGAAGCACAGGCCAGCAGTGAGTGTGCCAAACTAATAGTTCACCTCAGAGTGTATTTCTAGTTGCCAATTTGTTGTAGGACTATTAAATAGGATGGATAATATTTCTTTGGGAGTTGGGTCACAAAATCCAGAAATTACTGAATGACAGAAAACACAATGCTGCTGCCCATGGAGCTTTCTATTCTACAAGCAGGAAGGACAGGTTTTAGGCTGGTGAACCCTTTCATCACTTCTCAGTTCACTAGCTCAAGACTGACTAGTGTCAGAATTTGATCAAAAGTTTCAGGTAGATACTTTGGAAAATTATCTTTCTATATATAAATTTAGTTTTAAATTGCTTTAATATTATTTTTTTCTGGGAAAATAACTTAATTCCTCAGGAGTCCAACAATTGTTACAACAAAGTGCTAGTCCCTCTTTGTGTGATAGAAAACTGCATTGTCTGTTGGCAGAACAATACTAGTATTATGAAACAAACCATAAATCTTCCCCAAAAAAGATCTAAATGGGTCAAGATACTAAGTCATGGAGGATGGTTGGAAGGATCCACCTCTTAACAATTTGCAGATATTTTGTTATTTCTGTATGCCTCAAGGATCTAAAAGCATAGCTGAACCTAAACGAAACAAAAAAACCAGTATGCAAAATTCCTTGAGGTGTATGCTCAACAAGAAAAAAGCATTTTGTGTGCTGTTAAAGTTTGTTGAAGTTAAAGCAAAAGAATACGTTTGCTAATAAGAAATATCAGTCAACCTTCATTATAGGGAAGAAAGCAGTTTTGCATTTTAGTCCGGTTCCCTATAGAAACTAGGCTTATGAAATCACAGTGGTGTGTATGTGTTTGTGTACATGCCTGTGACTGTCCTCATAGTGACTTGGGAATCAAATGGGAAAAGCTCTTGGAAGAAAGTTTCTGAGTCATGAAAATAAGTGTCTTGCAAAGGAAATATGTCTTGGTTAAGCCCCTTTATAGAAGACAAGGCTTCCACACAGGAAAGACTCAAACAGAGGGAAGTCTTCAGCCAACATCTGCACCTTATTAGACACCAAAATCAATTAGCTATAGCATACACATCAACAGAACTGGGTTTCATTGGTACTGCTGTTTGGGATCGTAATTACATTCAGACATGTATTAAACTTCTAAATAGTCTCCTTATAGTTTTCAGGTCCAGAATTTATAATTTTGTCTAGTGAACCACCAGTGACCTTACAGCTGCCTGGATCAATTGTGGTAAGAACAAACATTAAGAATTTAGATCTAATCTAGTGACACTTTAGTTGGGGCTCTTCTTAAGTTATATCTGAGTCCCAACCCAGTATTCATGCCATGTCCTCCCGAACCAAAATAGGGTTTCTGCATAAGACCTTTCATTAAGATAATGTAAAAGGCTGACAGCACACAGCAGTAAAAATGAGGGTAAAGATAAATTGGAATTACCCTCAAATCTAGAATAACCCTGGTGACTGTAGAGTCTGAGTACATTAAGCTGTTTTGTTGGGATTCCCTGGGGTTTTTAAAAATTAGAAATGTTTGGGATACTAACTTATTAGAAGGGAGGCAGGGAATAGCACCAGGTTATGTAGAGAAAGGAGACAAGGGGCTCTCGGCAATAAAATGCTATGGAACTTGCATTGTTTGAACTTGGCACTCATTCTTTACTCTTTATTACATATTTTTAGACTAAAAAAGGGAAATCGTATTTGTCCCAAAGGGATCTCAACGTTGTTCTACTCAATGGGCGGTGCCTTGAGGTGCAATGTGACATCAAGTCCAAGGCAAGAGATGTTTTTGACACCGTGGTGGCATATGCTAATTTGGTGGAACATTTCTACTTTGGCTTGGCTTACCTGAAAGGTAATGAGATGCAGCTAGTATAGTAACAGTTTTCTCCTTCAGTACCTCTGTAGTCACTTTATTAATGAATCCTTGTAACATCAGATGAAAACAGATCTAAAGCTTAAACAAAAGTAAGTTGCTTTAAACATTACTGCACTGATGTCAAGCATGTCTACCCTAGGACTGTGCATCAGTACAGCCATGCTGTTACTGACTGATATTCCCATGCAAAAAAGGCTGTGTCCCAGCCTTGCACTGGAATAATAGTGAGCCATGTAGCTCCAGCAGAAATTCCAGGAAGCATTGTACTGAGGAAGGCTGAGTGTCTTTGTTCCTAGATGTAATTTGGAGTACAGGCTCAGCTATTTCATCCACAAGATTCCAATCTCCCTAGCCCACTTGTGATGGCAAACATGGCCGAGGCACTAGGAAGAAGCATATCTTGTGTGTAGGGCATGAGGATTACAATGGGGTACAGAACCTGAATGCTGAGCAGATTGCAAACCACATCAGTTCTTGAGTGATTCCATAGATACCACACTAATTCATCATCTAACCATTGTAATCCTAAATTTACCCTAAGTCCTCTGTTAAAGAAGCAATAAGTTAAATCATGACACAGAGAAGTAAATCTCAACTGACATTCATGATACATTTTAAATTTTATTACTGAATGAAGAAAGCACAATTTTGAACTACTGAACTATCTCCAGACTTATCACAGAACCCAAAATTCTTGTTCCAGGTAAAGAATTCTTCTTTTTGGATGAGGAGACCAAACTCTACAAAGTGGCCCCTGATGGTTGGAATGACCAACCCAAGAAGAAAACCTCACTTATTAATTTCACACTCTTCCTAAGGATAAAATTCTTTGTCAACCACTTTAATGTTATCCAGTAAGTGCATGTCTTTGCTGACTGCAGGAAAACCAGTAGCATTTAGGGTGACAGTTCAAAGCTCGTCCTGTGTTCTTAAACCCTTTTATGTTCCAGGCACAGCCTGACAAGGCATCAGTTTTACCTACAGCTTCGTAAAGATATTTTGGAGGAACGATTATATTGCAATGATGAGATTGCCCTGAAACTTGGCGCTTTGGCTTTACAGGCAGAGCTTGGCAATTATGCTCCTGAGGTATGGATAAATAACACAGTACTTCTCAGAAGTCTCTTTCAACAGTTTTGCAGCTTTTTGTTTATCTCATGGAGTTTAAAACAGAACTGTGAATAGCACATGATTTCAGCTAAGTCCTTCAGTAATCACATTTCACATTTCAGATTTAATTTAAAAAATTACAAAATTTGCCTGATTAAGGAGCAGTAATGAGCCATAGAAATTTGGCAGAAAACATGGCAGAATGATGAAAGGCTCTTGGTTCTTCACAACTGATAACACAACAAAGAAACTCCATAAAATCTATAGATAATTTCCAACATAAGCACAGCCTGGATGTGTAGAAGAGTTTAGAGAGATTAGAAAACATGGAAGAGAAAAATAAGTAAACACTGCAGACTTCACAGCTATTTTGTGTGTAGGCTCAGATCCACAAGCTCCAAAGACAAGAAGGTCACTTATGACATATCTGAACTAGTTATCCTAGTATTGGAGTGAACAGAAAATATCCACTTCTGTTTTCTGCCATGTCTTCAGTTACATAAATCAGTGTAGCTCTACTAATTGAATTTGAGTAGTCTGATCCATCTGGTCAGATCCATTCTGGCATTGGGTCTCTCACTGTAGGTGGTAGTGATGCAGCTGTAGCTGTCAGCTCTAAGTACAAGACTGCATGCATGTCTGTTGGGCCAGCTCTTTTTCCCCCTCTGCACAGAGAAGTAGCATGTGCTTTGGGCACCTGCCTGAGCACAGGTGCAAGAGGCACATTTGGCTGTCAGGATGCTACCTGGTATTCCCCTTCTTCTTCTAGGAAATGGCAACAAGGTGACAGCATACAGGTCACCCTGAAAACGGAAATGCACTAAGTAAGAAAAGTCAAGAAAGAAAAAAAGGCTCCTCTTTCTTCTTCTTTTTTTTTTTCTTTTTTTTTTTTTTTTCTCCCAAAGATGCATGGGAAGAGCTATTTTCGTGTTGAGGACTACATTCCAGCAAGCCGAATAGAGAAAATGACCCTGGCCTATGTACAGAGAGAGCTCGCTAAATTACATCGCATGTATCATTCCCTCTTTGAGGATGAAGCTGAATTAGAATTTTTAAAGGTAATTTTGGACTTCATGATCTTAGAAGTCTTTCCCAACCTTAGTAACTCTATGAACTTGCCATATCCCAACCATTATTTATTTATTTAGAGACAGAAAGCCATTCTCTAGTTGCCATTGTGTTTATGTATTTTCATGGATAAATATTATTATCTTGCCTGATATGGTGGATTTTAGATATGGTGAACAATTTTTTTAATAAGTCAAAAAAAACCCTCAGAATTTTATGTACTGTCACTAAATAACTTACATCACGTTTACGTGGTAGGTTTCTTTTCACTGATATTTTATAAAGGGTTAACACATATTTCAGGGTATTTTCAACATCCTAAGGGTTGATGCAAATTTTAAGCATGTTACCAACATGTCTGGGTTCCAGATTATTATAAAAATACCCACAGAATGTATTATAGGTTATTATAAAACATGAGAATAATTGCTTTCTTGACTTCTGAAACTACAGCAGCTGTTCAGCCACTTTCTAAACATGAATTGACTATTTGTTTAAAAATATCTGAGAACCCTGAAAGTAAGGAAGGAGTTATCTGGAGTATTTTCTCACATTACTATTTCTCTGGGGCTCTAGAGTGTCACAATTATGTGGGATTTCATTTTTTTCCCTCCTAATTTCTCCTTCTCCCCAAACTTCTTTGCTTTCCATCAAATGAAAAATATCAGGGAATAGATAACAGATGAATATCAATGACTATTTTGCTGCACTGCCACATTATGTTATTTATAGCATAATTTTAATTCAATTGCTGTTTAATTATGTTAGTTCCTCATCTAACACTGCCAGTGGAATTGAAGAAATAGATTGAAGCTTAGCCTTAATGACAGTCCCATCATGTGTGGCAAATCCAATGAAGAAAAGCGGCTTTGTTAGTATCTGTTTCAATGAATATATCTGTAGAAGGAGTCAACACAACATACAAAGTGAGAAAGATAACCCCCATGGCAAGCACATGGTAATTACAAATATTAAAGAGATTAAAATTAAACCCCAGATTCAGCTAGTGATTATAGGTGCCCCAGTTCTCAGGACCTGAATGTTCATGCTCTGGATACTTTCTGAAAAATGAATCTTGAAGTGTTTTATCTTGGTCACTGAAAACCTCTGTTTATGGTTTAAAAGTCATTTGGGTATTCTCCATTAGCTTTTCAGAAAAAAATAAATAAATTTTAGAATTATCTCATATTGATCTGCACACCAGCACAGAAAACCCTCCTCATATTCCATAGTTCTGTGAAGGGTCTGAGTCACATTTTAACACATTGTGGCCAAGTCGGGGAGGTAGAAAGACAAGAAACAATTCTCAGAACTTCTGGAAAAGTTCCTCAGAGTATCTTCTGCATAGTCAGATGGCAGGGGCAGAAGCTGGATCCTCAGTCCTTTGAAGTATAACCCTACTTAACTTTTCACCCAGCTATGAGTTCTGTGCAAGATTGAAGCGACATTGAAGATCTGTTACTATGGCCCTGAAGGGAATTCTGAGACAGTGGAATTCCCTGAAAAGTCATCCCTATATTTAGGTGAGATTCTTTGAGGTATAGTGTAGCAAACTTAATTTAAGATTCTTGGCAATGGAAATTTATAATGTCTGATGTTAAAAGATTATAGCCCTGAAGGAATGGATGTATGTACCTGAGTGAGTTCATTACAGATTGGGATCTGAGGTGTCACTGGAGTTAAGATTTCCAGTTGGTCATTATCATTGTAGAAAGGAAACCACATAAGCCAATAATAATGTCAGAGTAGCCCTGGCACCAAAATATTAGCAGTTTTACTAACATTATAATATTTGCTGTACCTTGTGGTTTCTGAGTTTGCTCAGAGAAACAAAGACACAGAAAAGAAAACTGAAAGAAACAAGGTTTAACAGTAGTCAAGCAGCTTTAATCCTGCATGGATTTCTATTCAGAAATGCACACAAGTACCAAGTAGCAGTAATGCTGAGAACCTCAGTGCCATTGTAATGTTTAGATTATCTTGCAAGAAGCTACATATTCCTCCAATCTCTTCAAATGGGGTGTATGGGAAAGTGTAATTTCAATTTTACACATGGAAAATGAATGCATGTAATGGCTCTATGACAGACCAACCTAAGGTCATGATTCTCTGAGGCAGCAGGTATGAAAATTTGGTAAGGGTTTTTAAAGGCTTTGTCACACAGTAAAAGAATATTCAATGGAGACACTCAAAACCATTTCCTCTTACATATACCTAACTTTCTTTCCATGTCTCTTTTTGAATAACGCATTTTTTACAAGGTGACTCAGCAACTTCCTGAATATGGTGTGTTATTCTATCGTGTGTCCCAAGAGAAGAAAGCAGCAGGAGGGGACATCATCCTGGGAATCTGTGCCAAAGGCCTCATTGTGTATGAGATAAAAAATCACACAAGAATTGCCAGTTTAAGATTCCAGTGGCGTGAAACAGAGAGAATTTCTGCTCATGTGAGTTGGCACAAAGTGAATCTCTTCTCCACTCTACAATTTTACTCCCATTCTGCCTGTCACTTTGATAAATTTATTGCATTCAGAGCCAGAATTATACTTATTCTGTAGTGGCAAGTTTGGTGTTTTGTTTTTTTTTAAAACAGTCTAAAATCAAGGCTGGATCTGGATGTGGATATCAAGATATCCAGACATCCAGTTCTTAGTGAGGTTTAGTTCTGGAGTTTTTGCCAAAGCCAGAATCAAATTACTATAAAACCAAATAATCTGGTTGACTATTATAGAGACTATGTCAAACCTTTTCATGAACAATATTATACAAAAAAACTTTCAGTGCCTCAGCGTAATGACTTATATATGAAGCAAGCTGTGCTGCTTTTTTTTTTCCTTTAGAGAAAAAAATTCATGATTGAAAGCAGCTTCAGTGGCAAGAAACACACCTTCATTACTGACAGAGCAAAGACATGTAAATATCTACTGGACCTGTGCTCTGCCCAACACAAATTCAATGCACAGATGAATTCTAGGCAACTTCGGCAAACTCCATCAGGTGAGATATAAATACACTGTCCTTATTCATTATTTCACTATGCTTCACTTTTTCTTTTGCAGACTAGAAAACAATGATTTTAACATGTCTGTGGAAGGTATGACTAATACTCCCTTAGACTTCAGATTTTCCATAGTTTTCTGCTCAACCCAGGGCAGTTACATAGCACTTCTCACCCTTGGTTCTCAGTATGCTTTAAAAAAATGGGTGAGGATCATTATAGGGAAACTGAGGCTCATAAGAAAGAACAGCCTAGAGCCAACAACTGTCATCACTCTTCTACTTCAGTGGAAAAAACATGAGTTTTCACTAGCTGAGGACTCATCTATTGCATTGAACAGAATTATGATCATTTACAACCACTGAGTATTTGACCCAGTGAGTCATAGCAGGAGAATCATAGAATCATCAAGGTTGGAAAAGACCTTCAAGATCATCAAGTCCAACCATCCACCCTCCAATGCCTAACCACTAAACCATCTCCTGAAACACCACATCTACCCATTTTTTGAACACCTCCAGGGATGGTGCCTCCAGCATCTCTCTGGGCAGCCTGTTCCAATGCCTTGCCACTCTTTCTGAGAATAAATTTTTCCTAATATCCAGTGTGAAACTCCCCTGATGCAACTTGATCCCATTTCCTCTTGTCCTGTCACTAGTCACTAGAGAGAAGCAGCCAACACCTGCCTTACTACAACCTCCTTTCAGGTAGTTGTAGAGAGCAATGAGGTCTCCCCTCAGCCTCCTCTTCTCCAGGCTGAACAGCCCCAGCTCCCTCAGCCTCTTCTCATAAGATCTATTCTCCAGATCCCTAATCAGCCTAGTTGCCCTTCTCTACACCTTCTCCAGCAGCCTTGGTGTCCTTCCTATACTGCGGTGCCCAAAACTGCACACAGTACTTGAGATGCAGCCTCTCCAAGGCAGAACATAGGGGCAGAATCACCTCCTTAGTCCTGCTGGTCACGCTATTTTTAATGCAGGCCAGGATGCTGTTGGCTTTCTTGGACATCTTGGTACTCCATTCTCTAGTCAAACTGTAAAAGCATTTGCAACAAATTATATCATGGCATGTAGTAGAATGATTGATATCTTGCTTATTTCCCACTAAAATTATTTAATGAAAAGTGATATTCCACCTCCACAAGATTGTTACCATGGAAAAAGGTGCTAGGATGACATTTAGATTCTAGGCCCGTTTTGTTTCTTGGGCTTCAGAAACTTCAAATATTAATTTAGTGGAACTGAAGGCTAATAGTGAATCTTAAAGTTTCACACACACGCATTTAAAGACACGTGTTTAAAGACACATTTGCTTGTGGTAATATATCTTTAAAAAAAGTCCTACATTCCATATATGAGAGGAAAAAAATAAAATTAAAAAATGCTTGAAAGCTAAGAAAATTATAACCCAAATTGTAATTACAAGGACCCCAAATCACTGAAACAAGCCAGATTTACACAAGCTGCATTACTGCAGGTTCCGAGGTTTGGTCTGTGCTTGCTGGCACAGAAAGAAAGGCTTTGTGAAGGGAATGAGAGACAGTTCAAAATGTTGCCTTTGTCAACACAGTGAGGGTGTAAGAGATTATAAGGCTTTTTCTGCATGAGGTACACTCTTCTTTCTGCTGCACTGTTCATATATGTAAGTCACCATCTCTTAAAAACTTGCTAGTAACCTGCTACTTTGAAATTACCACAGCGACACTCAGACTGTGCTAATACTGTGGACAGTTAAGCCTTCTGAAGCTTTAACAAATGCCCTGATCAAAGTTACTGAGGAAAAAGGAAGCCACACTTATTCCAAGGCCTAGATATACTCAGGGATACCAGAAAAAAATATATCTATGATGTCAATCTTTTTTGCTGGCATGTTCAAAAGGTTAGACAGAAAGAACCTCTGAGCATAAACATATGAGATAATATAAGTGGATTTATTTTTCCTTTTTCCCTCTCTCCTTCCCTTCTTATTCAGAGGAAAGTAAATTTATGGAAATAGACAAGTCAAATTCTACATATGCAGGTCA